ATGGATGGATGGATGGATGGATGGATGGATGGACAGTGCTTTAGGACTTTTGGTAATTTTAATATTTATTAGCGGATTAGCACTTGCTAAATTTATAGATTAAATTTAGAAGCACTAACTGAGGTCTATAAATGTTATTGATCAACGTTAATGTTAACAGCTGAGGGTGAAAGCTGTCACTCATTTTGTTCAAATGTGTCACTTATCTACCAGGTCAGTGACTCCCAACCAGGTACCCCTAGTGGTATGTGAGCATATTACAGGTGGTACGTGGAAAAATTTCCTAGTTGTGTAAAAAAATTAAACTAGATTTCCGCAATGGGGAAATTGCAGACAAAATCGCAGAATTGACAAAACAAAATAGAATCCAGTAAGAAATGCAGAATCTCACTGAATTTGCTTCGTTTGGGYGAGTTTCTGAGGCCGCTTCCTTCACCTGCCATTACCCGCTTTATTTATTTAATTGCTTATTCACTTCCAAGGCAACATTTTTATCTTTGTTTAATTTGAGTTGAAAGGGGAAAAAATGCCTGAGAATTTAATGTTCAAGTTAAGAGGATTAAACAAACAATTGTCATTTGATAATTAGGTTTTGTACATTTTTCTTTGGGAAAATCATAAATACGTTTGAGGGGGTACAAGTGGTATGACAAAATGGCTCAGGGGGTACACAAGTCTAAAAAGGTTGAGAACCACTGCATTAGGTGACATATTAACAATATATGAACCCAAATACAGCTGTGGAATGTCAATGATAAGACTTAATAGAGCAACATGACATTATGTGACTCATGTTGTCTGTTCAGAATGTTCATAGGTTGACTGGGCTATTTTAGTGCTTTAGAATTAGCTTTTGCTAATTTTTCTTAGTGCGTTAGTGCTTTAGAATTAGGGGACCTAAATATTTGAGTTAGTGTTTTAGGGCTAGTGGAACAAATTTTTAGATTAGTGCTGCCCACCACTGCATGTCAGGAAACAATCAGGAGAGTTGTTAAAACGTTGCGCAGTCTGCCGTCAACTTTTAGATTTAATAATTACAATTCAGGCTGTAAAGCAAAAAATGAGTAAAAAGTAGGGGTGTCCTGATCCGATATTGATATCCGTCCGATATCAGCCAAAAAACGAGTATCGGATTTTATCGGCCTGCATAAAAATGTCCGATATAAGCGCTCCAATATTAGCAGTCCGTTCCAGCAGTTCACTGCCTCCGCTCCAGTGTTTCTATCCAGCAGAGCTTGGATCCAGCATGCAG